CAAATATAATTTTTGCTTCATGTCTTAACCTCCTACATAAAGTGCTTATTCAACTTAATTCAAAACTCAGGTAAGCAGTGAAACCCAGTTAAATTAAAGCAAAATCTGAAGCACTCAGATGATGTGACAATAATTTCATCTTACAGTCTTGGAGAGAGAAAGGCAATAAGAAAAGAGTTTATTAACTTTTATTATAGTAATTTCTTCATGGTCTTAAACTTTGAGGCATTGTCTGTTGGAGAGGTTGATCCATTTTCACAGCTTCCCTTACACGTGGTGATGATTCTCAACTTCCTTTTTGTAGCCTTCCTTGCCTTAGCATGTATCCAGCTGTCTACTGTACATCTATCCACATGGGGACATCTCAATAGCAGGCATCCAAACCTGAATGGCTCACCTCTGCACTTTCCTATCCTTCCTTCCCCTCTCCCTGCCCCTCACTCTAGTCTTCCATCAATCTTATCTCTGCTGTTGTCTCCTTTTTCAGCAAGTGGTATCATTGCCATCTGCCCAAGCCATGGTAGTGTAGTCTTAAATTTTCCATTTCCTGTGTCCTTTATTGATTGATTTAAGAGGCAGAGACAGACTGAGAGAGTGAGCTGCTTTCTGCTGGTTTACTCCCCAAATGCCTGAAAAGGCAGGGGCCAGGCTGGGACTAAGGCTGGAGATGGGAACTCAATCCAGGTCTCCCATGTGGGTGGCAGGAACCCAATTACTTGACCATCACTACTACCTCCTAGGGCCTGCAGGAGCCAGAGCCATGAATCAAATCCCAGTACTTCAATGTGGGATGTAAGCATTTTAACTGCTAGGCCAAACATCCACTCCCTATGGTTGTCATTTGATTTCATTAATATTTCTTCATTCCACTAATCAGTACCTTGGTTGAGGCAACCATCACTTCTAGTCAGATTATGGCAATAGTAATGGCTGGTAATAGGCCAAATCTGATGATGGTAGCCTTGAGTTTAAAATAGTTCAGTGGATTCCAATTGCTTTAAGGATAACTTTCAAATTCCTTGGTAAAGTTTACAAGGACTTTTGAGATTTAGCCTTTGTTTACCTCTTTAGTTTCATTACAGTTTTCATCTTCAGCTCAGTTTTAACACTTAATTGCACCGTCATGAGCACGACTATAGTGTTCTGTGCTCAGGGAAAAAACAAGATTAGTCTTTGGTATGGGATGAATGAATAATCTATTTGGATGCCATCTAAATGAGTGTGTCTAGTGTGAAAGAAAGAACATGAAAAAAAAATGCAAAATTTCAAGTAGGCCAGTAAGAGTGTTGAAGGAAATTAACTACACCTTGGGAGTACAGACCTCCTTCTGCTTATCAGAAAAAAGCATTATGTAGGATGGAGTGTGAATCTGGTTTAACAGAACCGATTCTTTTTGAAAGCTGAAGATTTGGAGACTCCTTAAAGTTCTAGATTGAAGGATGGTTGTGAGTGTGTCTCTGTGTTCAAGTGGATTCTTCCCATAGTCTACCATCCCTAGGACACATTAAGGAAACAGTGAATTGCCAATCCAGTAATTTCAGTTTGCTGAAGACTTTAACATCTGCTCCTCTTAGTATGTAAGTTTCTACAAGCCTAGGAATGTTTATTATTAAAGCAAAGCCAAAAGTAATATCCTTCTTTTAAAAATTCAGATATACTCTCATACCAGAAGTTATTCTGTGATAATGACATTCAGCTTCAGTTTTGGTTACATTTCTTTCAGTATTTGAACTTTTTAAAAAGTTATTTAAAACAATTCTAACATGGAATATGCCCACTTTTATGGGGTACAATATATTTCAATATATAAACACAGTATAAATCACTCAAACCAGGCAACTAGCTTTTCCATTTTCATATCTTTTGTTTGTGTTTGGACACTATCAGCCCTTGAAAAGTAGTACTTTCGTGCTGCATTTAATTATGTCTCATAGTTATTGTGAGAAATTATATGTACTTGACATGAAAGTGCTTGTGATTTTTTTTTTTATTTGACAGGTAGAGTTATAGACAATGAGAGAGAGAAACAGAAAGGTCTTCCTTCCTTTGGTTCACTCCCCAAATGGCCACTAAGGCCAGCGCTGTGAGGTGCTTCCTCCTGGTCTCCCATGCGGGTGCAGGGTCCAAGCACTTAGGCCATCCTCCACTGCCCTCTGGGCCACAGTAGAGAGCTAGACTGGAAGAGGAGCAACGGGGACTAGAACCCGGTGCCCGTATGAGATGCCGGCACAGCAGGCGGAGGATTAACCAAGTGAGCCATGGCACCAGCCCAGTGCTTGTGATTTTAAAAACTACACCATGAAATCTGATCTTGTAGTCATGCAACTAGTTTAGGCTATGTAACTAATTTTACACACATAAATTTAAAAATATCATAATAATGCAAAATGTTAATGTTCAAGAAAATTTGATTTATAATTATAAATTTATAATATGTATTATACTGAGCTGTTATTTGTGTGTTTTTAGCATCACATTTGAACACTTGAAGGTTTATTTTTAAAAAAGATTTATTTATTATTTGAAAGGCAGAGATAGAGACTGAAGGGGGGGAAGGGAGGGAGGGAGGGAGGAAGAGAGAGAGAGAAAGAGAGAGAGAGAGAGAGAAAGAGATATCCATCTTATATCTGCAGCTTCACTCCCCAAATGGGGCTTGGCCAGGCCAAATCCAGGAGCCAAGATGTTCTTCTGGGTCTCACACATGGATGGAGGGGCCCAAGTACTTGGGCCACCTTCTGCTGCTTTCCCAGGCAATTAGCAGGGAGTTGGACAGGGAGTGGAGCAACTGGAACCAGAACTGGAGCCGGAACTGGTGCCCATATGGGAAGCCAACACTGTAGGCAGAGATTTAATCTTCTAAACCACAGTGTTGGCCCCCATCAGAATTCTTACAGAGGAAACTAAATCTGTTAAATTTATATATGTGTATGCTGTTTATTGTTTTTTAATTTTAATATTTATTTATTTGAAGGCAGAGTTACAGAGAGGCAGAGGCAGAGAGAGAGAGAGAGAGAGAGAGAGAGAGAGAGAAAGAGAGAGAGAGGTCTTCCATCCACTGGTTCACACCCCAAATGGCTGCAACGGCAGGGGTTGGGCCAATCCAAAGCCAGGAGCCAGGAGCTTCCTCCAGGATACCCAGGCAGGTGCAGGGGCCCAATCACTTGGGCCATCTTCCACTGCTTTCCCAAGCCATAGTAGAGAGTTGGATTGAAGTGAAGCAGCCGAGACTCAAACTGGTGCCCATATGGGATGCTGGCACTGCAGGCGGTGGCTTTAACCACTACTCCACAGCACGAGCCCCTGTATGCTGTTTAAAGAAATACTATAATGCAATTGCTGGAGAAGACATTTGGATTTTTCCTAGAAGGCTGTGTGGAATGCTGACACATAAAGGAGAATGCCAGTTGGAGGGAATGGCTTAAACACAGTTGTGATGCATACTGCATAATGTATTTGGGGAAACTGTGAATTTCATTTGATTTGGTCCAAAGGAGGACTACAAGGAGAGAAATATGGAACTATGGTCCACAGTTAGACCTCAGAAACTCCTAGGAGCTATTTGATAGGCAGAGAGGAAGATTCTGGAAGATCCTGGGTAGGACTGATGTAAGTGTTGTCTTTTATGAAGACTAATGTGCAGAATTCAGAATGGATCCTTTGGGGAAGACTCTGAGAGGCAGTGATTAAAATTTCAGAAATCAACCTGGACTGAATCAAAGAGAGAACAAACTTAAACTGACTGCCGGAAAAGACAAGCAGCTTCAGTTTGCTGAGTACTTAGGTGAACAACGAGAGGCAAATTCTTGTGCATGCTGAGGGCCCCCTAATCTGATGTGTCTGACCTGGGCTCACCAAGATAAAAAATTCACCCGGGAACAAATCCTCAGGCCAACAAGCACTGAAAATGCTAGTTCTCTCCTCCCTAGGATATTTATCTAAGTACAAAAAGCTAGCATCTGTGGGGTTTTCCTTAAAAGCCTTAAGAATAGTGTCTGCTTAGCAAAACAAAACAAAACAAACACAAACCAAACCTTCACACAGACTTGAGGTTCTTAGCTTTTCTCTAGAGTTTTATGGGTCCTGCTATTAGTGACCACCCTTTAGTGGGCAGAGTTTCCAACCCCTAAACTGAATGAGGACTTGGATTAGCAGTGGGCAGCAGTGCTGGTAGCAACAACTCCCTACAGACGTCTGAGCTGAGGTCCAGCAGAGTTAAATCACACTGAGTGGGATACCATCACGGCATTGTGTACAGTGCAACACTGCCCATTTCTTACCTCCATTGGATTGCAGAAAGTGCTGTTTCAATGTGGAAACTGGTTTGTCTGAGAAAAAAATGGAAAGGTGACAACAACTACACCTGCTTTGGAGATGGCCTGTTCATTTTTAATTGCATCCTTGGGGCCGGTTTTTCAAACCTTCTTTTAATTTTTTGGTTCCCATCTTCCTCGGTTCTATGTCTTCTTTATAGGACAATGGCACACTCGTTGCTTTTCGACTTTCCTATCTCTGACCTTGTCCATGAGTTGGGGGAGGTTAAGTGAATTTACTATTTAAAATCACTCTTGAGAAATAAAAAAAAGTGTATTCCTTTTCAGTCAAACTATGCCCCCAACCTCTCTCCTTGCTTTTAATACATTAAATAGTAAGCAACATGAGAAAGCCTGTTCATTTTCTGTATCATAAACTCTAAAGGGACTCTCATGTTTACACATTAGGATATCAATAAACATTAATAAAGAATATCTTCAACTACTCATATAACAACATGTTTTAAAAACATACTGCATGTTGTTATCAAAAGCAGTAATTCTTTAAATAAAAAGTACAAAGGAAAAGGCCTTACCACACAAAAGCATTAAAAAGTTAGGTGGAGCTGAAATAACAGGCAATGAAGAAAGCTGTCTTACTCTTGCTTTTCAATTGAGGGTCCTGTGAACTTCTGACAGGGGAAGAGTGAGTACTGTGTGAATACAACAGAAATGGGAACAAACTGAAGCTGGGGATTTCCCAATAATTTTATTGAGGTAATTTTTCCCAATTTTATACATATCTGCAGTTCTATATACTTAGGAAAGCTAAACAATGTTCTAAGGCACTTGGAATTGTGCACAGCAAAGTATCCTATTATATTATACCACTAGATAGAGCATAATTTTGCCTTTTAAATAACACAAACACCAGTACGGAATAAAAAAGGTAATACATAGTCTTTCTTTCAGGTTATAATAGTGGAATACATATACATATGTGTGTATACTTGTAGATAATTATACCCACATACTATATATCATACAGTACAGATGAAGAACAAAAAAAAGAAACTGTCATGTTAGTCATTGTACAGTTCCAGTTATTTACACTCACAGATATTATACCTGTGTAGGACTAGATTGCGCACTGGAAATCAGGAATCTTTCAAGCAGTCTGATAATGATCACAGCATACCATTCTTATCATTTTATCCAAAGGTTGAAGTAACAAATGAATACATTTAGTCCATTAATTAAAAATCACTATTATATAAGAAAAAAATGACTAGTTGGAATTTCTAGCAGGTACTAAATCTGTGAAGTTGGTGTAGAATGGTTTGAACACACTGGCATGTTTCTAAGCCACAGAAAATTTAAAAAGGAGAAAGAAAACTTAGTGCCTGTGCTTTAAGGAATAAAAGTGGTTTGACCCTCAATTCGTTCAGATTATTTCCAAATGTTAGTCAGCACTGCAGTGGCAACAACAAAACAGCCAAAGAATAACAAAAGTATCCAGGAAGGGAAAAACCCCCAACTTGGCAAGTGGCGCAAATATTATTGGCATCTTATTATTATATCATAAAATTGACCTGAGGGTGGAGTGGCACTCTGCCTCATGTACTCCTTTCAATGTATTCTCTTTAAAAAAAAATACTGCTATTTAAAAAGAATTCTTCAGCACCATCTAAAAGTTTACAATATAATCACCTTTATTGACTCTGATTTGCTGTGCCTCAAAAAAAAAAAAAAAAACCTTAAGAATTTTTGGTATTTTAAAAATGATAGTAGCTACATTGGTTTCTTTCCATTAGCCACAGTTTATCTAAATAATTTCAAGACCTCCTTACTATTCAGTTTTGGTGACAGACAGGGACAAAGAGACCAAGCATGTTTCTGTCTGATTAGGGCAGTTTAATTTTTCGTCAAGGTAAAGCACACCTTGCTTTGTGGGTGACCATCAAGGAAGTATGAATGACATGCATGCAATCCACAGTTTATCTGTATTTCCTTTGTAGTGCAGGATTCAAAATCTTGTTAGAAAAGTTGAAGTGCATGACTGTATTTACACAAGGGGTACTGTAGCCTTTGCAAGTGAATTAAATGCTTCATTAATAGGACAAGCATGCAATTAATTCTCTGGGAATTCCTGGGACACAGATGTCACCAGGTGAAAGCCAAAGGTGACTCCCAAAGACCACGGGCTTTGCCTATGTGGAATGTTAGCAGTTGTGTTTGTGTTTAACCCGTGCGACAATCCTCATGACGTTGACAAGAATTAAGACCAATAGTGGAGGCCTGTAATGAAATGGTGAGGCCAAACAATAAAGACAAAAAAGCCTGCTTCGTGTAAAATCTGTCCTCAAGTACCCACGGAGACTGTGTTAAGTTATTATGACCACCAGAACTGCGAGGCTGCCTGGCACCCTCTGTCCTGAAGAACTGGCAAGCTAAAGCTTCACAGAAGGAGAAACAGCACCCAGGCCTACAGAAACACAAGGCAGAGAGACAGTGGAGTTCAGGTGCGGGGTACCACCCTCCAAGAAGGGCATTTGCACCTGGGGGAAGGTTTTTTACCACTGGTTTTCACAGCAACTGAGAAAGCTCCTGGCATTTAGCCAGCAGGGTCCTGGGACATTAAACATCTTGCAATACGTGGGACATTTCTGTACAACAAAGAATTGTGCAGCTCCAAATGCCAACAGCACCCCACTGAGAAACACTGATCAACAGGGCTTTGCTCATACATGCAGCTGTGCTCACAATTTGATAAACTAAGGGACTTTGTGTGTGTGTGCAGCAAATCCCAGCACGACTGAAAATGACTGTTTCTAAGAGTTGGCTTTGGATGGAAATAGCTGCCACCAGTTCTCCATTTCTTTGCCAGAAATCAACACATACAATGGGAATTCATAATTTGGGATGACCTGGTCTTCAAAAACGGATAGGTTTTTATGTCTCAGCTGCTTTCTAGAAGTGCAAATGGTGTCCTGTGTTTCTAGACAGACCTTAAGGTAATTGATTACAAAATGTAAATGCAAAGTGAAAATGAGAATGGTCTGGGGGTATTCTACCATCATCTCCACCACCTTTTGGTCACTATCTGCTTTTATAGCAAAGTCTTAAGCTTCTCGTTGAAGCTTGGGTTTAAAATATCTGGGGATGAGCTTTCTCTCAGAAACATGTTCCTATTAATTTGATGATTACTTTTGTCATTGCTTTTTCCCTCTAGGACATCTTTTAGTCCTAGAAGTTCATCTGCTTTGCCCAGTAAAACAATTTAAGCACAGTGAGTACAGAGCAAATTACTCAATAGTGTAAGATTAACCACTAAGCTAAGGAATAATTTGCTAGATAAACTGCACCCAAGTGGCTCCTTAGCACTTATAGCATACTGTAACAACCTGAAGAAATGAATGCTTACAGTTTGTGCTTTCACTAGTAATGATAGCCTCAATATGGTTGGGAATTAGGAAGGTTAAAACAGCCCTATCCACACTGAGGAAAACCACGTAGATTAATGTATCTTAAGATGGTTTAATTTCATCTCATCTCTGAGGAAGTGTTCTCCCTCTGTGAAGTTTGTGGCAAGCAGCACTTAAAAATAATAACAGACTAAGGAAGAAAATAGACTTATCACCATTGGAGTGTGGAATTCCATGATGCAGTAGAAAAGACCACCTGTTTCTGTTGTGAATCCAGTATGATTTTTCAAAGTTGTATGTGTCTGACTCTAAAAAATGGAAGTAAAAATGTCTACTATGTGTCAATGTGATACGTATCAGGACAGGTAGCAGCAACATAGTTTTTTTTCCCTCTTGTAAGTGTGAGCTATTACATTTTTTTAAGTGTGCCAATGCAGCACTGAATTTAACTGCAGAGTGTAAAACCCGAGTTTCGGATTTTAGACTCAGTTCTTATTTTCAAATGTGGCAATTTTGAATGGTGCGTTCAATTTTTTTATTTATGTAAATTTTAGAATTTTCTTCTAACAGAATATATTTAATAACATCAGAAAAAAATGATTATACTCATGCTAACAAAAGATACGAAGACGAAACCAGAAGGCCAGTTTTTCTGGTAAAACAGAGGGACAGATATGTCTGCTTTTTCCTTCCTTTAAAATAGCTGTTCAAATGCTAAAAATGACTCTCTGAATATTATAGTTTTCAGTTAAATAGTTTGAGGAATTAACATGAAGAGAAATTACCAGAAACAGAACAAAATGCAAGACGCTTTACCTACACAGAGTTATTAGGCAAGCTGTCTTAAATTAACGCTGACCTCCAGAGACTAATTTTTCAGACTGACTGGTAATGACCACGAAGATGCTGAGAAAACCTGTTGAGCAGCTTCTTGCTACCTTAATATCCATGTGGTTTCCTCCCTCCATTTAAGAAAGAGATGGAAATGGTCAATTAGTTTTTATGGTCTTTCTAGTTCTTTGCTGGGTGGGACCTTCCTGGAGATGGGTTTGTTTTCTTCCTTAATCACCTCCTGGGGACTCAGGAAAACCCACTCACTTGTTCTTTGTCACCTAATGTCACAATTTGAATAGTGAAAAACCTGGAATTGTGTTACAACAACAACAACAAAAGTAATCCAATTCCCACACACATTTGTTTTCTTTATAGAACATAAGCTGATCAGTGGGACTGCAGAAACGTGGGCAGTGGGCAGAGGCATAATTATATGGAAGGTGTCTACACCTTCACTTTCTTTTAGGGCCACCAAGCAGGAGACCCATGGATGGACTGCTGGTGGGGATAAGCAGTGTTTCTGCCTTTTAAAATTAACTATTAAAACAGCCCTATTCTGCAAAATACAGCTAAGCTCATAATCCTTTAATTCCTTCCATAGGTTTTTATTTAATGATTACTTTTAACAAAATAAGTGGTTACAATGAAGTAACTTATTCCAGTTACTTAACATTTAGATTAGCAGTAGTTAATTTTTTTTTTTTTTTACTTTTAAACTTCAGTTTGAAGACAAATTGTGGGTAGTTCATAAATCAGACATTGTCGTTATACACAAGGAAACAAAGGGACTTCAAAAAGTTCATGGAAAATAAAAGATGACCTCATTTGGGGCCAATTTTTAAAAAGTTCATGCAGAATTTTTCATACTAAGCATTTCCATGGCCTTTTTAGAGAATCCCTCATATGCGTGGATTTAAAAATCTTTTAATTCATTTTACATGAACCTTTTGAAGTATCAGCATTTCATTTTTGTACTGGGTATATCTCATTATAGAGAATAAAGAATTGCATCATATCCACCACTAATAGGAAAATATTTTATCAACCAAATAGAAACTTTCTACTACATATATCTTGAGTGATAATGTCTTATATTTACCATTATATAAAGACTTCGTGATTAGAAATTTTTAAAACATGTTCAAAGATGATAAGCATACAAAATGAAAAAAAATTTTTTATCTTGGCATTTTTCCCAATACACTAAAGTGATAATAAAATAGCATAAGGAAAAAGATGATTTTGGAAAAATAATTAGGCCAAATTTAATTTTTGTGGCTGGTTTGAAACACTATAAATATATAAAATCTCAGCCACAGAGAGACCCTTGGGCAGCTAGAAAAAGGTTTTCAAAGCAAAAATATGTCTTATCCTATTAGCGAAACAACAGTGAAGAATGCACAAGGCTGGGTGCGACAAGAGGTGTGATGCTGATTACTTTCTTAGTTATAAAATGGTCCTAACTTTTTATAATAGACCAACTTTTCATCATTCAATATAAGTAGTTCTACAAAATATTAATGAGTAGCAGAATCTACATTTATTCATCAGATTAAATGCCCACTTTTGGGTTGAAATTGGAAATGAATGTCTTACATTATTATGGACCAGAAACACTGCAAAAAATTCTAGTCCAAGCTTTCAGAATAAAATAAAATCTATTTAAAACTTATCTTCTTTTTATATCTTTCATGTGTTTTTAATAAAAGAGGCAAAAAAATAATGAAAAAACAATTAAATACCAGGTAGTATTTAAAAATGGCCATATGAGTTTGGGAGCAGAAGTCATACTGTGCCTGTTACTCCATGGAAAATAACAATACAACAATAGATGGTTTCTTAATGTAAACAATGCTGACTATAAGTTCACAGGGAACTATCCATGACTTCAATCTCACTGATACTTTTGCATTGAAAGTAAATACTATATTATGAATGCAAGCTGCAGATTTTTAAAATATGACAAGGTTTTTCTCACACATGACTTAGCAGAAATTTGCTGTGTTCTTTTAAGCCTTTGGATGAGTATTTTTAAAAACTATGTGCTTCATTTATTTGTTTTTAATAGCAGCAACCCAACTTTTGCTATGCAGCACTGAAAAATAACTGGCCCTTTGCATTCCCACTGAGAACTAACTGCAGGCAGAGCACATGTATCTCACTTAATTTAGAATCAGGTTTGAAACCAGGTGTCATGATTGTCGATGCTATCACCTTTAGGTCAAGTACAATTGCTCTGACTTTGGAGATAATCAAGACAGGGAAAGGCCAAAAGGTTAATTTCTGAAGCCTGTTACAGTTTTAAAGGGTCACATTACATCTGACTTTATTCCCAGTCCTGTTATCCTGTGGAAGGTTGATACACTAAGAAAGGAGTATAAAAAATGTCAAGTGTGTATAGCTATGCTACTTAAGGCATGCAACAAAATTTGGGCAAGCATGCTCATCAAGAGTCCATTGAAGCCTCTTGCGTTTAAGAAAAAGATGCATGAAAACATTCAGACGTATTTCTGGCAACTGGATTCACTGGCACAACATAAAATAATGGTACTATACTGTATAAACTTAATGGTGAAACAAGAGTATTTTTTCAGAATCAAGTCAAGGAATCCTCATTGGGTGACTAGATTCCCAAATCCCTTAATAAGTTTTCAGCTACCAAATGCCCTCTTCAAAAATATATTTATGCTTCCATTTTCTCTTTTCTTCATTAACATAATGAAATATTTCTCTTTCTTTCCAATTTTCAACTCCCACCCCTTTCCCGTGCCCAGCAACTCCAATCACCATTTTTCTTTACCCTGCACTATACAATTTGGCTTTCAGGTAATGGGGAGCCAGCGATTGTCTTCTGCTCATCTTCTTTGACTAAAACTCCTGATGAAGAATAACTGGTGTCCCTTACCACCAATACACATTCTGGGAGGCAAGAGTCACAGCATATTTCTTTTGGCTTGTTGGCCCCATCTGCGCTGTACAGGTGAGGAGCACTTTCGAACAAGGCTGAGTCACATGCTGCCTTCACCCCAAGTTAAACGGAAACACACACATTCAAATCCCAGTGCAACATCAGGTTTTCAGGAAGCAGAGCTTCCCCTAAAGATGATCAGTCCACATTCCCAAATAGTCTTGCACTTCACTATGGACGATGAAACCTGGAATAAGAAGCAACAAATACTGTCAGTCTGTGGTGCAGCAAAACTCTCTGAATTCAAGGAGCTAAGGCATGGCAAGGTTTACAACAAAAGTCTGTTCTAGGCACCCCTCCCCCCAACTAAATTACTGGTATCAACTGCTGTCATAGCAGAATACAGTTATATGAAGACACTTCAAAGAATTTATACAAAAGTGCAATTAAAAGCTAAGTTTATTTGGTGTAAAAAGAAAAAAGAGAAAGGTGTAAAAAAAAAAAAACTCTTCATGTATACATGAGCACTTCCAAAAGTTTATGTAGAATGCATACTATAAAAAAACCCATTTATGGATTTCAAGGATTTCTGCACCAAAATAAATTTATCTTTAATTCAATTTTATACAAATCTTTTGGCATTTCTTTGTAAATGTTATGTTGGAAAGCAGAGAGAACTCTTAATGTAGAAGAGGCTGGTTATACTCTTCAAGTTATTGAGCCACCAAGACCGAACACCACTATTCCTGAAGGTTCCATTCTAACTCATGGCTGAGATGCTTCACGAAGAAGAACACAAATAGCCCCTCTTTTATTAGCTTCAGCCTCTTGTCACTCCTCCTGATGTCTCCATCTACTTTTAACCTCTGGGTTTCCAAACACCTGTTGGGTATTTTCATCCAGCTAGCCCACATATCAAACATGTTTACAACTATTCAAAGATTTTCTTGTTAGCTTGCCATTGCAGTTTCTATTTCATTGAATCTTTCATTTGTAAGAACAGTTATAGTCAAGAAGCCCCAGATTTGCAATACATTGCATTGCTTCACCTTTATTTCCCATCAGGTATCTAACCCACACTTGGTTGCCTGTAACTGAATCATTAGTGCCCTTGCCATCCTTTGGTGGCACTACTTAAATGTTCTGCCTGCTAGCTAGTCCCCCAGCTCCCTTTCCCTCCATGCCAGTTTCTGAACATGCCCTGCCTTTTTATCATCCTTTTGAACATTCTGTACCCTTATACTGCAATTACCACCCTTCACTTTACTATCTATGGTTTCATCTTCAAAATCAAGGTCAAAAGCTGTCAACTATATTTACTTTTTTTAAAAAATTAAAATTTTAAAATATTCTAGAAATATTTATTTTATCAGAAAGGCAGACAGAGAAAAAGAGACTGAGATCTTCCATCCACTGGTTGACCCCCTAAATGCCCACCAACAGCTAGGGCTGGGCCAGACCAAAGGCAGGGACCTGGATTCAATTCGGGTCTCCTATGTGGGTGGCCAAGACCTAAGCACTGAGTCATCCCCCTGCAGCCTCTGGTATGCACACCAACAGGAAGCTGGAGCAGAAGCAGAGGAACCAGGCACTTTCAAATGGGATGCAGGTGTCACACGCAGCAATCCAACTGCTGTGCCAGATGTCTGTCCCTGTAAAGCTTTGTCTGATTCAGCTCTTTAGACTACCTTGGGACTCCACATTGCTGGAAGTCTACTTAGCATTTCCCTTTGTCTTTTAGAATCTGATGCTCATCTGCCTTGCTAAACCAGCACACTCCCTGGGCTCATGTCCTATACTCTGCCCATCAGATCTATGCTCCTCACCATCACCAGCACCACCACTATGAAATACTAATGGCACCATGCCAGTTCTTTGTTAAGAGCACTGCATGGCTCTCCGTTACCTACAAAATAAAACTTACATTTCCTGGAGTGGCAAGCAAGATCTTTCAGACTGTGGCTCAACCCATGTTTCTAGGTGTTTTCCCACCACTGCTTCCCATATACTTTTAGGTTCTGATCATCAGCCCTCCCTCCACATTCTTAACCCACAGCACAGTATGAGATCTAAAAATGCCCTCAACAGTGCTTTTGTACACAAGAGTTTTTGGGTGCCCTGCAGGTAAAATGGAATAGAAAAGGTCACCAGTTGGATTTCTATGTTGTCAGATTTGATCAGTTTTGAGCAGAGAAAAATCCTATTTCACATCCCTAGGCTACCCTGTGATTATGACTCTTGTCACAAAACACCTACCTTTTTTTTTTTTTTTTTTGCTACATAGGGGAATACATGAAATTGGGCTATAATCAAACTTTTGACAATGACTAGAAAAGCAAATCCAGAGAGATCCAAAGGCTTGAAACTAACAGTATCACTTCTTGTGGAGCAGGCCACACTAGCACTGTGCAGGCCCCAACAAAAGGAGCAGGAGCCTGGGGACGCTGATGACATAGGACAATACATGGTACCTTCAGGATCCTCATTCCACAAGCCACTGAAGGGTTCTTTTTCTTAGGTTCAGCTTTTCTAGGGGTTAAATAAAAACTTATCTAACTTAGTAATTATTTAGCTCTCTCCAAATTTGTTGGGCTTTGCACACCAAACATCCCACAATGTGCTAATCTTCAGATATTTGTTAGGTCCTGGATTCAAAGGACAAGTGTTGAGAAATCTTATGCAACATGCTTTCTCTTCCTACAGGTAATGTTTGTGGGATGAAGAAGGTAAATGAAGAATTTGGGTAAAAAAATGAGCAGTCAGGAGAATCGAAGAGACATTTGGTAGCAGACATTTGGGGTAGACACTTGATGCTTTGGTTAAGTAACCATGTGGGACACTCACATCTCATGTTAAAGTACCTGGGTTTGAGTGCTGGCTCCAGCCTCCTGGAGGCAGCAGGTGATGGCTCAAGTTGTTGGATCCCAACCACCAAAGTGGGAGTACCTGGATTGAATTCCAGGCTGCTGGCTTCTGCCTGGCCCAGCCCTGGCTGTTGCAGTCATTTGGGGAGTGAACCAGTAGATATAAGAATTCTGTGTGTATGTGTGTGTGTCTGTCTCTGTCTCTTGGCATTCAAATAAATGAAAAGTAATATACAAAAAAATTGTTAAGCATTTTTCTATAAAGTAACCTTCTTCAATTTCCAGAAACTAGCAAGGGCACCATAAGATTTTTTGTTTCATCTTTAGAGGCTTTCCATGCCTAAAATACTCTCATGGGCTTTTTAGCCAGATCCGAATGCCTTAAGGGCTGATTCTGAGGCCAGAGTGCTGTTTAGAACATCTGCCATTCTATGAGTCTGCTGCTGTATCCTGCTTCCCATGTTGGATCATTCTCTCCTTTTTAATTATATCTATTGTTATTAGCAGACACTTGGTCTTATTTATGTGATCCCTTTGACACTTATTCCTATCTTCCTATAAGCTTTCCAGACAATCCAGAAGCAACAGTTACTTCTTACACACAGCCCTCCAGTCCCCAATGTTCCCACCCCCAACTCATTATCCCACCCCTTTAATGTATTGCCAATGTAGGTTCAATGGAAATAACATGCTTTTCTTCCTCAAGTTTTATAAAAAATACCCATAATTCTGGGTCTGCTGATGATTTTTCCAACTTCTACCTATCCTTGATGCTAGTGATGAAGAACTTTTCCCAGGACTTGTCTTTTCTTTCTCACTAGCATTTGAAATGGTACAATGAACAATGAACTTTTTTTATTTTCTTTTCTTTGAGAGATAGAAGCTGAGACAGAGAGACAAAGAGAACTCCCATCTGCTGGTTCACTACCCAAGCCAAAGCTAAGTGCTAAGTACTCAATCCAGGTCTTTTACCATTACTTGAGCCATCAACTGCAGCCTCCCAGGGTCCATTAACAGAGAGCTAACATCAGGAGTGTACTTAGGACTTGAGGCCAGGTACTCTGATAGAGGATACAGACATCTTAAGCCAGCATCTTTACTGCTTGACCAAATGCCTGCCCCAATAAGTGAACCCTTTTAGTTCAGAGAGGAGCTCTCAGTCTTAAGAGTTTTGGTTTAACAGACTGCCCAGATTTAGTTTAAAAAATCTAAAATCCAAAAAACAAGTCTTCCACAGATTTCTTGCTCAATTCCATTAGAAAAGGGCATTTATAGCCTGTATAAATTAGGTATTTTATCTTCAGATTCACCTCTAAAATTTTATGGTTAGAGGTACTGAAAATGCAAATTAGAGTTTAGTTACCACTTAGTGGTTTGCATTCATTTTAAAACATGAGAAGTTCAGCTTTGGCTACTGAGAAGTTTGCCTGTGTGACAGAATGACAGCTTTGGCTTTAGGCTTTAACTTGGTGGAGCAATAAATAGATTCACTATGCCCTAAGGATCCTTAAGCTTTTTGTCCACCCTCTTTTCACGACTTTCCTGAGACTCAAATTTGAAGTTATCTATATTGTCTTCTTTTTAAAACTGTAATATACTTTTCTTAGTTTTCATACTGCTGAGAAGGGTTGAATGAAGAAAAAAGCTATTTTTAAGGTTGTGGATTCAGATAAGGATAACTATTTCCATAAAGAGGTCTTTTTTACAATTTAATCCTTAAAAGTTTACTCATCTTCCTATAAATTATAATTCCTCACAAATGTAAAATATTACTTTTCTGGGCTTCCCTTCTGGATATATGTAGATCTGTCAAATAATTCATTTCCCCTTTTTTAAAGAGATCTGCATTGTCATATCTTATACACTTGTGCTAAACAAGGAAAGAGGCTCTCTCAGGGGTGGGGCACATCTGGCCTGCAAAGTCCTATGAAGCCCACAAAAATCCTCTGGTCTCACCCTGCCAAGACAACCCCAGGCCAGACTCAAAATTTAATGAATCTATAGCAGGCTAATATTTAAGCTGATAGTTTTATATGATTTATAAATATCCAAATGGCCCTTGGCAGAAAAAAGTTTCCCCACCCTTATAAGCACCATAGCTCCTTGTTCTCCTGAGAGGCTAGACCGTAGACTGGCCAGGCTCTTAGTAAGCCCAGCACTGAGACAGGCTTTCCATCCTGGGAGTTATAGCAGCCCTTTGCAACTCCTTTTCATTTCTGTCCACGTAGCAAGTCAGTGGAGCATCCAGGAAAGACAGCATCAGACAGAAGCAGCCTTCATGTTCCTCTGGGCTAGACTCTCAGTTAATCTTTATTAAAGTTCTAACCATGGTTCCTGCCATGTCACATTTGGATAAGCCATCTAGAAGCCAAAAGTGTACTTT